GCCACAATGATGCGTGTAGCCCCATAGCTACTCCAGAGAGCAGAGAAGGTGAAAAAGGCTGTGCCTCCAAGGTGGTCATACTTCCGGAAGGTAAGAAATCCTGCCAGGAGCTGGACAAAGCCTCCAGTCAGGATGAGGTGGACACCTGAGAGACACAATGAAGAGGTCAGGTAGAGTTAGAGGTTAGGCTAAGAGAGAGTTATACTGTTGAGGTGAGTACAGATGACACTAAGATGCTCCGAGAGCTGAAGCACCTCCACTGTGGAGACATGCTGAGAGCTGGGCTGGTTCAGCCTGGAGAAGAGAAGGCTTCAGGGAGACCTTAGAGCAGCTCCAGTGCCTAAAGGGGCTACAGGAAACCTGGAGAGGGGCTTTGGACAAGGGCCTGTAGGGACAGGCCAAGGGGAACGGCTTTAACCTGCCAGAGGGGAGATGGAGATGAGCTCTTAGGCAGAAGCTCTTCTCAGTGAGGGTGCTGAGGCACTGGCACAGGGTGCCCAGAGAAGCTGTGGCTGCCCCATCCCTGGCAGTGTTCAAGGCCAGGTTGGACACAGGGGCTTGGAGCAAGCTGCTCTAGTGGAAGGTGTCCCTGCCCATGGCAGGGGGTTGGAGCTGAGTGAGCTTTAAGGTCCCTTCAACCCAAACCAGCCTGGGATTCTATGAATCGATTCAATATACAGCACATATGTGCATGTGTGTGTGTGTAGTGGGAGTGAAACTGGGTCTTTCTGCTAATATACACAGCACCTACAGTCCAATACTATGAAGCAGTGCTCTCAGGCCAAGTTCACCTCTGGTACCCCCCCTGAGCATCATCACCCACCTGCGAGGATGTCCTCTGCACCCTGTGGCTTGATGCCGGTGTGCACCACAGTGAGGTTCTGCAGGCAGAGCAGGAAGGCGCTGACCACGTTCGCCAGGAGCCCCAGCACTGCCGGCTCGCTGTAGAAGACAGCGGCGAAACCCGCGGTGCTCGCCATGGCCCCTGCAGACACAACAGGAGCGCCGGCGGTCACCCCACCGCCTCACCGTCCCCGGCGTCTAGACCAGCGCTGCCTCGGCGCGGGCACTCGGCCAGCCTTCAGAGCCGTGCCCCTGCTCCAAGCAGGGAGGAACTGGTGACAGGCTCAGGTGTTTCCACCGCGCCTCCCGGCTCGTTGCTCCAGACAAAGGCTCGATTCAAAGCACAGCTTTAGGTGTCTACTTTCCGGAGTCCTATCCAGAAAAAACACACACAACCTATTTAGGCTACGAGGATTTCTGGCAAAAACATGTTTAGGTGCCCCAAAGCGCTGCAGGTGTTGGTGATGGTTCCTGTCCCCTCTCCTCCAAGCTGCTGGAGATGGAGAGCGATGAATAGCCTAACACAAGTGAACAAACATTCAGACAAAACCCACAAGGTATTTTTGAGCCATTCCAGGACGTTTCTTATCCACTGTTACAGACAAACAGGCAGGCACAGCGCACGCATACACAGTCTCCCTTCCAGATGGAATTTTCCAGCTCCATCCCTTTCTTGAAACCCCAGTGACTAAACAGTTTATTTTCAAACCCTTCATATTTCTACCATTAACTCGTCTATTTGCAGGCAGCCCCCACATTTCCATTCCTCTGCACTCCTGGGTACCATGAGCTGGAGTTTTCTCTCTGGAGGTTTTTGTTAGGAAACAAAGATGAAAATAAAACAGCAATGTTCTTGTTATTTTGGTATTTTTGGCACACCAGATGACCTAAAGGAGCTGGAAAAGGAGAAAGTGATGTAGTCTGTTCTCAGCCATTCCAAAAAGCAAGGGAAGCATGCAGCACTGCTATTGACATGGGAAGTGAGGAGTGGAGGAGCACCACCCGGAGAACAGAGAGTTTTGTGAATATTAATCAACCCAAATCCCAGTGTCTGCTCTTAAACACGTAGTATTCATCAGCAGATGCACAGTTTGCAAACACCACAGGCCTCTGGACTGTTGTTCCACTAAACCCCCATGTTTTCCTTTTCTCCACTGATTCTGAAGGATGTGATTTCTCCAGAATGAGGAATGAAGGATAAATTGGCTCCTAATAGCTCTGAACTGATTCAGTGACTTAAACTTCATGAAATGTGGAAATGGTAAAAAACAATCAAGTGAGCCTTGGGGAGGGCAATTCATTAATTCAATTATTTGATTGTGCTAAAGGTTAGGGTTTTTTGGTTCAGAGATATGCTCCAAATCACAGTTCTGCAGGAGGCACAAGCATCTCTATAAAGTACTGACCTGAGGAAGGCCCTAAGACTGCACCTTAGGAAGAGCCGAGCAGTACCTGTGCTGTCCATGATGCTGTCATGCCACATGGCATTCAGATATAAAGAAGCCGTTTGGTTTACATGTTTATACTTGGAAGTGGGCCATGATCTTTACTTCCTCCAGATGTTTTGCTCTGAAATAGATCAGACGGTGGCTTTCTAGGTATGCTGCAACAAGCCCCTGTTTTGAGTCAGTCTCTGGAGGAGGATGAGATGGGTTTCTGGAGGAAGATGGGCTGGCCAGGTGTCTCCCTGGCTTGCAGAAGTGCTTTTCAATTTGCCACAGCTCATATTGGCAGTTCCTGCATAACTAGTGGTTTTAGAGCCTGCAACACACAGCTTGGTTCTGTGAAGGATGTAGGGACACAACTCATAGGGGTGTTTCTCTCTTCTTGCAGTGCAGCCCTTCAAATGATGTCTGGGAATATGCCATATCATGCTACAGAGGTGTAAAGGGAGAGGATGTGAGAGGATTTAGACCAAGATATGGAAAAGGAGGAGGATGAAGGAACTTCATTTGGGAAGAGAAGGGCTTGGGGTTGGAAACTGCTGCAGACCTACTCACAGCATCCCCCACTCTCTGGAAACACAAACTGTGCATTGCTTCCCCCTCTATTTCATGCAGCATAGAGACACATCAAATAACGAATCCCCTCCCGTTGTTGTCTCAGGGGTAGCAGCACTAGTGATGATGTGGGCTGCAGCAAGAAATGAGGCTTCTGCATGGTAACAGGGGTGTTTTCTGTTCAAAGCCTTGTTTGTCCATAGAATAAAACCCCTCATCACTGTTGTCACTTATCTGTTTTGTGCAGCTGCTGCCTCTGGCACTTTGGTAGGACCTGTTTCTCTACATGCGCTAGTGAAAACCAAGCGTGACACCTCTCTGCTCCATGAAACACAGCAAGGAGGCATCTCCCACCAAGCCTTTCCTTTGTCCTCAAGCCTGCAAGCTGGGTGTCCTCAGCTGAGACTGATGCAAAGCAGCTGTTTGGATATTCTGCAAGCAACACAGGGCAGTGTGGAGGCAGAGGAGCAAACCTCTTTCTACCATGTGGGGTTAGCAGCTCTCTGCAGACATGGGGTACCAGCCAGCACAGCCACTGTCCAGGAAACCACAAGGATGGAGATGTCCTCACAGTGAGGAGGACCTGGGGCACTGCCAAGCCTGGCGGATGATGGGGCAGCCTGGGGCGATCCTTCTTTTGCACAAATTCCTCATGCAGCAAGGGCAAAGCCAAAGCCATCCCTTTCCTCAGCCAACCTCCTCCATCTTCTTTCCTTTTTTCCTGCTTGCCCCTGACATTCATCAGCTTGGGGTTTGCAGAAATGGCTTGTGCTGTCCTCCCTCCGTCCTGGCTCTTGTCCCCGCAGCATGAGCCATGCCCATGTGGGCTGCTCGCTGCAGCCTCTGATCACCTTTTTCTTGCCTTTCTTGCAATAATTCCCTTTCCAGAATAGGTCACATTCTTCTGCACCCCTCTTCCACCTCACTGCTATACCTGGGCTTTGCAGACACTGCTGTGTGCATCTGCTTTGCACTGTCGTTTGTGCTTCACCTTGACTTACACTAATGGGAATATTCTGATGTGTGGACATTGCCTCCAAAGGGGGTTGGAACAAAGCTTAGCATGCCATGGGACACATATATAAACACCAATATGTTACATTTATCAGACACTTATTCCCACGTGGCATTTTACTATTAGTTTTCCATCCCACCTTATTAATGATAACAACTGTTTACACAGCTCAAAGGAAACACTGCTTCTCTCCAGATAAACATGTTAAGAAAATGAAATGAAACTGGTTTTGGCTAAGCACATATAGCAAGATTAACAGTGCACAACAATGCCATGCAGCTGGGTTAAATACCCCAACCCTGACTCTCCTCTGATGAAAACCAGCACCAAGTTGCCTGAGGTGCATTGCTGCATCAACAGTGATTAAGGATCTGCCATAGTATTTAGTAGAAGATTCTGGTTTTAAATGCAACCAGGTACCACACCAGGTTGCTGTTCTGTACTGAAGAACCTGCAGCATGTTGAATGGCCCCAGGTTTCACTCTTGGACCGAGCAAAGAGCTATGGCATCCCCCCAAAGTCCAAACATCCACTTGGGAATGAAAAGTCCCAAAGTCTCCTGGCAGCAGCAGCATCCACCTCTGCACTAACCCTTTAGTGAACCCACAGCCCATGGCAGGCAGCATCACAGAGCTGACTATTTAGAAGGAGGAGAGCTATGAAAAGATTCAGCCAAATGACAAAACACTGAATGTATTCAAGAAAAGCACCAAAGAAAACCACCACTGCCTCGCTTCTCCCTCTGTAGCTTGGATTACCTGGTTTGGTGACACTTCAGCTCAATGGGAGGATGCTCTTGTCCCTCTCATTTCCTGGTCAGTACCAGTTTTATAGTCCTCCTCTGTAGGAGGAGCCTGGGGCCAGTTGCTTCACATACTGGCACCTGTAGCATTCGGAGACAGCAATTTCCTTGAACTTTGTCAGTTATTGTCCTAAATCTTTTTTATTTCCTGAAACCAGGGGGGGTTTCCCTTGTGTTCGTCAGAGAAAAACCACCCCTCCTCATCTATTCCCCCCACCCTCTCCGTCCCCAGAGGCTGATGTCATCCCACTTGAAATTCATTTGCAAAAAAACAAAAAGCAAATTGCCTTTCAGAAGCATATATAAACCCTGACACCAAAGCACCTTGCAGACAGACACCTCTCCCATCCCTCGAATAGCGCAGAGCTGGGCACTAGGCAGTGGTAACAGCCACCAGCATGGTCTACTTAACCTTACAGGTAACTGCTATTTGATGTACAAACCCTATCCGTCTCTGATCTTTCCTTCTTCACTTTAAAGAGGCAATGTCATTTTCCGGGCAGCTCCTCAACTGGCCGAAATCACCGTGACATGAAGTGGGAACCTGCCCCAGTACTAACAAAATCAGAAGGTTTTCGCAGACACTTTATTTACTAACCTGTTCCTTTCATGCCTGTTCCTTTTTACGCATCCCACATGGGTTTATATAGCGCCATGGCAGGGGGGTTGTTGTTGTTGGGACGTGTTGTGTGGTGTTTTACTCCTTGTGTTCACCCTGAGCTGGTGCTGCTCGCAGCTGGAACGGGATTATTCCATGGTAGGTCTGCAAAGGCTGTGCTGTCCCTTCTACTGTACTGCTTTATTTCCCTGGCTAGTCTTGGCATCCCTGCTGGACTGAGCCTTGGAAAATGTTTTTCTCCTTTAAATATGTAGCCAGTTTTATCCGCCTGTTTGATCTGTGAGTGTCTCACAGTGCCATGTTAGAGGCACAACCAGAGTAAAGTGGCTTTGAAGGAGTTCAAGCGGCTTTGGTGACAAATGCTCTCTCTGTCTTTAGATATCCCAGAAGTTCTTGGCAAGCTCCCAGCAAGTTCACAAAACTGCTGCTCACGGTGTGTACCTCTCTGCAGAACAGCATTCCCTGTCCTTCTTTAAAGAGTATACAAATAACCATGTTACTGCTTTAGAAACAGGTTCTGGGCTGCTCGCGCTGAGATAAACCGCTCAAATCCTCGGAAGATAAACGTGTTTGGGGGCTCTTGGTGTGATTATTGCCTGTGGTTGCTAAAGAACAAGGAGAAAAGTAACAAATGATAAAAATGCTGATTGTTAAACCTGTGCTAAACCAGAAACTTTAACTGATTTAGAACCAGACTTTCCAAATTCTTACTCTTTGGCCATAAATGTGAGATCTTTAAGTTGGAGCTGTCATCGGCTTGCTCAGATCCTTAACTCCTCCGTCTGTCGCCACTTCTTTATTACATCTGATCTGGCCATTAGCACTGCTTGAAGCGACGCAGGGGTCATTCCCTGTGTCTCACAGCAGAGGAGCTTCTGCACAGATACAGCTTCTTGCTTCAGGCAAATTAAGCAGGACTTTGCTGTGTAGCCACTTGGTCTCTCATAAGTTTGTCTATTAAGTGATTTTAAAATGTGTTATTAATATAAAAAATGCAATGAATTCTGCTTAACCAACACTCGAGAAAAGAGTATTAATAATAATCCACATAGATCTATTTGGTCTTGGATGGGGTATTTTGGGTTTTAATGAAGTTCTGCAGCACCATTACCGTACCCAGACAGAAACACTGGAGTCATGAAATGCTTTTAATGGAGGGTTAAAAAATATCTCTGCCTACTGAAGTGACAAAGAGCCTTTGATGACAGGAAGGAAGCAATCCAGATTTTATGGCTGTGGTGTGATTCAAGCAGATTTTCCTCCAGCCTCTCCAGTCCAGTTTGTTCCTTCTCCTTGAGGGCGGAGGTTTGTGGGACACTGAGGATGCTCCGGGTACACAGAGAGGACACAGATTTTTGTCAGCAGAAGCTTTTCCGAAGTGCTGAGTGCTACAGATTCCTATAGCGATGTATTTCATGGAGCCGCTGCAAGGGGAGAATGTTATCCCCGTGAGTCACAGCCGTGATGACATTCTCAGCTGTGTTTACAAATGGATTTTAGGCTCTGAGGCTCTAGGTGAGTCCAAATACACTTGCAAGCAAACTGTGAGTCAGTAGGCATGACATTTAAGGATGAATACAAGCTGCTGAAATTAGGGAATGGTCATTTTTTTTTAATTGGGATGTTTTCTGGTTGAAAAATAAAGTGTCATCATCTGCTGATTCTCATGAGGTTTCCTGTAAGAGGTTGAAGCAAAGTGTTTTTACTTGGTTGCTTCACTCATCCTGACGTTTTCATGTCATTAGTTTCATTCGGACATTAATGCCAGCTTTGATCTATGTGCATGCGTGTGTATTCCCCCATCGTGCATACCTATATGCGGATTTGCAATCATGCATATGTTAGCTATATTGAATTTTATAATTCTTCTGCTCTTGTACACTCTCAAAATTATCTTATAAATTATAATGGGTATAAGAATGATCATTCTATGAATTATAAATTCATCAAAACCATTTTGTCCCAAACTGGGTATTTTCCACTGAATTTTAATGCCACCAAAGATTTGGAAATGGTGACTTCCAAGCCCAAAAGTGCCAGGAGTTTGTGCTGTCTGCCCAGCTCTGCCTTTGAGGTCACAAATACAAGCACCAGCTTTGCCTTGGGAAGCTTGATATGTTGCTTTTTGTCTGCCAGCAAAGATGTTCTCAGAGACAGGGAAAGCTCTCCTTCAAATACCAACCTCAGGAGATCGTCTGTTTAATCCCCATCTGAAGCATAGGCTGGATCCTCTGATAAGCTGAGCTCAACTATGAAAGAACACAAAAAGATTTGTTTTAAGCACTAGCATCCTTTTGAGTACATAGGGCTTGAGGGCTTTGTGGTTGAGTCAAGAAACCTCAGTGACTTGTAGGACCCAACTTCTGGATAAATCCAGGCTTTGGGTGTAGTCCTACACTGGTAATGTAGCAGGGCTTCTGCTCTGCCTGTTCTCCAGATAAAGGGACATAATTTGTCTTGACCATCAGCCCATGGCCCACACGTCTTTATCCCCTCTCCTCTCTCTTGGTGCTGCAGTGGTGGCCAGGAGTGCTCCGGAGGAGACAGTGACCAGCAGCTTTGCCTCCTTCATCCATGCAGTTCGACCCGAGCACTTGTCCAAGACTGTCCGTCACAGAAGCAAGAGGATGATCCTCGACAGCATCGGGGTTGGCCTCGTGGGTAGCACAACGCATGTGTTTGACATCGCTCTGCAGTACTGCCGGGTAGGAATGGTCCCATATTCCCGTGTAGTTAATGTGGTCCTGACACCACCACCACATCCAAATCCTGCTTTCATGGCTGACACAGGACTTTGCCTTGCAGTAAAGGAGTGTTCTGGCATCACAGTCACTGCTTCACGCAAGGTCCTCACCTGAATCTCCCTCCCTTTCACAGGAGCTGTACTCTTCAGTTGCTGTGAGCTCTGTCTATGGCAAGCCAGGGGTAAAGCTCTCCCCCACGCTGGCTGCGTTCACCAACGGAGTTGCGGTAAGGGGGGCTCTTCCAGGAGCAGAGCTGCTCTGTGGGACCTTCAGAGGCACTAGTTATGATTACAGGAAGCAGGGGGTTGGAACTGGATGAACATTAAGGTCCCCCATAAACCATTCTATAATTCTATGGGAACTACTGAGTGGATGCTGTTACAGATGCAGCTTCATCAGCAAGGACCTATAGCTTCCTCAGTTTCCAGCCCCCCCACACCAGCATGTCCTTATCTCCTTTTCTCTGGCAGACTCACTCCATGGACTTTGACGATACCTGGCACCCTGCTACTCATCCATCAGGGGCTGTGCTGCCAGCTCTTCTGGCAGCTTCCCAGATGCTACCTCCAAGCACCAAACCCAATGGCATGGATTTCCTGCTGGCATTTAATGTGGGCCTGGAAGTGCAAGGAAGGCTCATGCATTTCTCCACTGAGGCTCACAACATTCCTAAAAGGTAAACCTCCTTTCCTTCACCAAGTAGGAAGAGGGCTGGTCAGTGTTAACAGTGCTACTCAGGGTTTCAGTATGTCAGTTTAAGTCCGGCTGAACTCAGGATCAGGGTAAGGACCTACCGAGAGCCAAATGCCAGTTCTCCCCAAGCTGATGAGTCACCACATATTCATTTGGTGACCTCCAGTGATCTTCCCTCAAAACTAACCATCAACAGGACTAGCACTGAGTCTACAGCATTATCACCTAAACTAGCCAGGACAAGATCACAGGACAGGTAGTGTCCACAGCCATTCAGACAGCTTAATTGTGGCCACAGTCCCAGGCAGTACCCTGGTGTGTTCCAAGGGATGGCATGACCAGGAGCTGTTACCCTTGAGCATGGTGGATGAGGCCACCTTATCCGTCTGGGGGAAGAAAGTTTAGCTGTATGGACACAAACCATGCCACCTACCCTTAGGGAAAACTACAAATGGCTTTCTGGAGATGCTGAGCTCACTCTGTTGTCTCCAGTGAAGTTTCAAGAAGACAGATTGTAGATGGCTATGTTTTGAGTTAGGTAAATCACACCTGCATCAGAGCTATGAGGGTAGCTGGCAGTTCACCCCAGTCCCAGGCAGGTCCGGTGGATGAAGTTCTTGGGTATTCCCTGTGCCAAGCAGGCAGGATGCTCATATCTGCAATTTCCCCCCGTATCTGCAGGTTCCACCCTCCCTCGGTGGTCGGTACCATGGGCAGTGCTGCAGCCACAGCGAAACTGCTGTCCCTCAGCGCGGCCCAGTGCGCACATGCTTTGGGCATTGCTGCATCGCTTGCAGGGGCACCCATGGCCAATGCTGCCACCCAAGCCAAGCCATTGCACATTGGAAATGCCACCCGCCTGGGCTTTGAAGCAGCGCTGCTGGCTGCTCGAGGGATGGAGGCCAACCCCTTGATTCTGGATGAGATCCCTGGTTGCTCTGGATTCAGTGCTTTCTACAGTGTCTATCAACCCAAACCACTCTCCACGCCAAGTGACCGCCATGAGTTCCTCTTGGAGAAGCAGGATATTGCTTTCAAGAGATTCCCAGCCCACCTGGGGATGCACTGGGTGGTGGATGCTGCCTTGTCTGTTCGGAACCTCTTCATCAACTACGCAGGGTCCTTCTCTCCCTCTTTGATCCGCACCATTGTGCTGAAGATCCCAGTGTCAAAGTACATCAATCGGCCTTTCCCCAGCTCTGAACACCAGGCTAGACACTCCTTCCAATTCAATGCCTGTACTGCCCTGTTGGATGGGGAAGTGGGCCTGAGCTCCTTTGCAGAGAGCAACATCCAGCGGCAGGAGCTGAGGGAGCTGCTGGACAAAGTGGTGGTGGAGCACCCTGAAGATAATGTGGCCAACTTTGACAAGATGTACGGAGAGGTGGCACTGCTCCTGCACAGCGGGGACGTCCTCACAGGCAAATGTGACACTTTCTATGGGCACTGGAGGAAGCCTCTGAGCAAAGAATCGCTCCTGAAGAAGTTTCGCTCCAACGCCTCCCATGTGCTTCCAGAAGAAAAAATAGAAACCATCATCACTACGGTAGACAACCTGGAGAACCTGTCAGACAGCTCCCAGCTGGCCTGCAGCCTGTGAGGGAACAGCAAGCAGGGTTTAGATACGGGACTTTTCCCAGAGAAACTCTGATTCCTCTCTTCATTGGTGCTTTACTTTTGTTTTTCCAGTGACAGGAAAATTCCCACCCCTTGAAGTCAAAGTAGACGCTTTAAGACCAAAGGAGCCCACGAGGCAGGAGGTGTGCCTGTGTCACTGATCGGGACACAGATTGAATCCCAACACATAGTTGGCTGCAAGGCCATCACAAATAATGAAACTCCCATGGAAATCTGTGAGAATCCTGGGGTATCACCTGGAAGCCGGCTCCCCAGAAGGAACTGTGTCTAGATCTTTTTTCAAGCTGCACTCCAAGTTTTTTCTGCGCAGGATGCCTGACTGCTGAGTCTGGGAAGGAGAGGAGGCTCAGCTGCAAGCTGTGTGCTTTTCTTAGCGCTCTTCTGGGCACTTTTGTGATCACGGTTAGTTAGTCATGATGGCCAGCTGAAAAACCTATCAGTTACTGTAAACAGCCCTGCCTGCAAAACCCTCGGGCAGAGATGGATTATTTCCTTTTCCAGTAAAAGCCTCCCATTTCTGCAGTACTGGGGAAGTGTTTTTCACTTCTCTGTGTACAAGGGATGGTTCAAGGAACTTTAAAACCTGTATTTCTTTTCTGAAAGGAAGGCAGTTTGAAGGTGAGGAGCCCGAAACCACTCCTACGCCTGATCCTATGCCTCCTGCAAGATGATCCCTGCCAGTTCTCTGTCTGCCACAGCATCCCTCCCAGCTTTGCCCTACTCAGAGCTGTCTCACCAGAGGTGGTCTTTATAGTCTCTGCAGAGATGGACCCCTCTGGATGGTGACCTGGGCACATACACACCATGACTCACATTGGGAAATTCCTGTTTCTCCCCCCTCAGAGGAGGGAAAGCTCAATGAGACTCAGTCCTTAACTCATCTTTCCAGCTGGGATGAGATCAGCACTTGTGCTCCTGTGCAGCCGTTCACTGAAAGGCTTCTGACCCTGCGTCCTTTGTGAGCAGTGAGATGGAGAACTGTGCAATAATCCCCTGTACATGAAACAGATACTGCGACTGCTGATCCAAAGGAGTGGCCTCCAAGCATGACATAGGTACAGAATCCATTGCAGAAGTGAAGGTGCCTTCTGCAAGGCACAGAGAGATGGGACTAGGCAAGCAAGAAGGCGTGTGGGCTGGTTCCTTTTCAGCTTGCCAGTAGTGGTCTTTGCAGAGAACTTCCCAGTCAGAGCAGAACTGTTTGCCCACCTGTAATTCCCCTCTCTCATACTGTCTTGCATATTCCCACTGAATCTTTCTGAACAAAAAACTGAAGTAAACTTATTTTCTGTGTGAAGATTTAATGCTACTTTATGTGGACCATCAGGTTTTGTTTTAATCTGAATATATTCAGTACAGAGGCTTTTCCAATAGGTGGGGGACCCAGCAGATAGCTAGAAGGCTGGCCTGTGCCCAGGGATTTCTCCAGACTCATATATTTACCTTGAGCCCTGCAGGCTGTTTTTCCTGAGGAAGACAATAGCCCCTAGGCAGCAAAGCCTGGCTGTGGTTAAACATGGTCTCTCATCAAAGAGAAGTTACACACTGTTTCCTCACTAAGCAACTGATTTCAAATATTTGTCAGGTTTCCATGCCAAGCTTCTGGTTTCCCTTGGTTGGAGTCACACCTTTTACCAGCTTTTCATCTGAGTTTCAGGCTGCATTTTGTCCCCATGATCCAGAAACCTCACTCATGCCTTGGCTGTCCCATCAGGTGTAATCCTGACACCTTTCAGCAGATACTGTGTAAAATTAGGAAGGGAAGGCACAGGAAAGCTGGTAGGGCCCAACTCCCCTTTCATCAGGCCTCTTATCAATTGAAGCAGTAAGAGGCTTTTCCAGAGGACCCAAAGACATAGACAAGGTTCTTTCATGATGTTTCCTCTAAAAGCCAAGAAACCTGAAAACACCTCCAGTATCCCAGTCCAGGAAAGTGTCTCACTTGTTGTTTTCACTTTAACACAACAAATGCTTCATCTTCTTAACTAATTCAGAGGCCCAAAGCCCTGACAAGGGAAGCAAGACCTTGGAATAGCCAAGGAAACAAATGACCTATGAAAATTACAGACCAGCTTGTGTGATGCTGAGGGTGTTCAGCGATTAATATGGTGCTACCAAAATCCCCAACTTCTCTCAGGCTGAATAAGAAAAGAGCCATTTTCCTTCTTTCTACTGCTGTTCCAAGAAAAATGACACTTAAGAAAAGAACACATTTCTCCACAAACATATTTATGGTAGCAAGCTCAGTGACTGAAAGGACACTCTCAGTGCAGAGACAGGCAGGATCTGTGTTGGCAATCAATCAATAACTACAGCCCCACACCAGAAATTAATAGGGCTCTGCTGGCACAAGCACTTGGCTGGGGAGAACCCTGGGCCAGTGCAGAGTGGGGAAAGCTGTAGAAGGGCTAATGGGAGCAGGATGCCACCATCAGCCCTTTCCCGTGGACAGGACCCATCCGTGGGGTCCCGTAGGCAGGTCCCACTCTTGCTCAGGACCTACCCATGGGCAGGAGGCACCCGGGCGGAGCCGGCCGCCGCCGCGCTCAGCACCCTGGAGAGCAGCCTCCGCTCGGGGCGCGGGCGCTAGGACCGCGCGGGCTCCAGTGTGCGGGGGTCCCTCCTGGGGTCCTCCCCGGTCCCCGTTCTCAGGATAAGGCTGTGAGGTGTCTGCGGCTCCCTCCCAGGGCAGCTCTTGTCCTTGGCTCCCACAGTGGCTCAGCTGGAGCTGGGAGAACCCTCGGCCCCATCTGTGACCATCCGCAGCTCTGCAGTTCTTAGGGACTTGTATTTTTGCATGGAGGAATTTGGATTTCCAGTGAAATGCCAGCAGAAAAAAAAAAAAAAAAAAACAAAATAACACCGTTCAGGGATTATTTCAATTTCAGAGACGATTTTGGCTGTAGAGGTCAGAAGAGGCCTCTCAGCTTTCCAGCAGTGATGGTAACATTGCTACCTCAGTGTGGCCAGCTGGGGAACTGCTCTCCTTGGTATCCCCCAAGTCCTTCCTTACTGTTTTATGCTTTTTAAATGATTGAGGGGCTGCTTTTTAAATAATTAACTTGAGCCTTGTCCTAGGTTTGCAAAATAAAAGCTTGAGCCTGTAAACTGGCCACCAAAAGCCTGGCCTCTGCATCCTGCAGACTGCTGGGATGCAGGCACAAAACAGGCTGTGGTCAGGGTTCTCCTCCGTGGGTTGCAGTCACATCTGGGCAGTACCGGGAAACCTCGATCAGGTTCTCATCAGGGTCTCGGAAGTAGATGGATGTTATTGGACCCATGGCACCAGTTCTGGCCACGGGACCTTCTTCAATAACCACCCTACAGGCCTGGGAAGAGACAAACAGGGGTTTAATGCTTAAGGTCACTCTTCCCCCAGCCTTGAAAACATGGGCTGACAATTCTGACATTCCCCAACCCAGAGACCCTCAAAGTGTCACTTGGGAAGCTCTAGTTTCATATCTCCCAAGGTCCCGCTGTGGATACTCGTTGCCTTTTTCACCTTCAGATGATCCTGCAGCTGGTCCAGGGGTACCTCTGTGATAAGGCAGAGATCTGCAGAGCCAGGGATGGGGCACCGAGCCTTTGGTTCAAACTCCTTCCCAGCCTCGTGAAGGTTAAACTTCTGGTTGCCGAAACGTAAAGCTTTGCGAGTTCCCTGTCCCCAGAGAAAGGAATCAATGTGCAGTGAGACTTCCTGAGCTGGAAGCCTTCAGCATCCACTCACCTGTGTAGTCCTAAAAGTGCTGGGGACCTGGCTGTAGTCCTGCTAACTCTGAACATCCATCCCTGTCAGAACCTGTCAGAGATCCACAAAGCCCAGCCACTGGCCCAGAACTGCAGCTCCCCTAGACCCAAGCCAAGCCTGTGCCCCATGTTACCTGGAAAGTCACCACCTCCATGCCCAGGACTTTGGAGTAAAAGGCCACTTTTACTCCTCAATGCTCTTCACAGTCAACACAAGGTGGTCCAAGCGCTGGATGAAACATGAGGGTGAACTCATGCACTCCTCCTTCCAGGACATTATCTCAGGGCTGGGAAGCAGCATGAAAAACCACAAAACATGCAAGTTTGGTGGGAACAGGGAAATGGTCCAGGCAGCTCTGAAGTGACCTGTGAACAGATTTGCTTTTGGGCTGTTGGTGGCACAAGTACAAGGTAGCAATAAATCCTCCCCCTTGGAAGGGCCCCAGACCTCTGCTTTACTCTGGTGGGACCTGAGCTTGCCAGAGCCCCTGGCTTTGGCCAGATTCAGAGGACCTCGCTGATGTTACAGAGATGCTGATCTCTCAATGCACCAACCCCTTTGTGCACCAAGGATGGACCATGTGCGTGATTCTCCCCTCCAACCCTCTCTTGGGTTCTCCCAACCTCCAGGAAGAGACAGAATCTCTTCTGGTCCCTATATAATGTAGATGGAAAACATGGACCATAGGGTAAGGGATGTGGCCTTTACCAGTGCCAAGAGGATGGGAACTTGTCACCAATGTAACTGCACTGTGGGACTGAGCCCAGGGGGCAAATGGCTGAGGGGACAAACCCCTGATGATCCTGCTCTGATGAGCCTCTGATGATCCCTGGTCATTGCCCTTCTGCAGTCCCTGGGAAATGTCTGGCAAGGAGAGATCTCAATGCCCCACTGGCACAGGAGCAAGGTCAGCATAAAGCAACCTGCTCTAGTGGAAGGTGTCCCTGCCCATGGCAGGAGATTGGACCTGGATGAGCTTTAAGATCCCTTCAACCCAAACCAGGCTGGGATTCTATGAAGAGAGGCTGGTTTGGAGCCCTGGTTTCCCCCATCCCAAGCTGGGACTGCAGCACTGCCCGGACTGTGCCCAGTGACTGCACCAGTTGTGGAGGGAGATGTTAATGGAGACAATGAAAATCCCTGCTCCTCCTTGCTGCAGACGGCGTTTGGTGTTGAACACCCTCACCTCTGCCAGCCTGGGCTCTGCAAAGTCTGTTCCACCCAGGAAGCCCTCCTGGGTGCTCCCAAGCTGGGGGGCCCTCATGTCACAGCCTGCATCTCCCTGCTCCTGCCCAGCAAACCTTGCCAGGACAACCCTCCTCTCCCATGCGAGCCCTCCAGCAAAGAGCAACAAGGAAACTGGACTGCAAAACCAGGCCAGGTACCTGCGAGAGAGGACGGTCTCTGGGCAAGCCGGTGCCAGCTGGCTCCCTTAGGACCATCCTCTTCCTGCTGCCTGGAGCTGAGCTCTGTGAGCTGACACGTCACAGGAGAATGGGGGGAAAACCCAATTAAACAGGAGCTGTGACTTTGTCATACCACAGAGGTGTACTTTGACCCAAAGGACCTGGAAGTTCAACTACATCGAGTTGCTTAAAATATCCCGGAAAAAAAGCCTGGATATTTCAGCCACGTATCTTCCCCTCTGCATGGGAAAAATGTGTTAATGTGCTATATAATGTGCTATATTAGGTTGAACTTGGTGCTCAGTCTGGGGTAACTTACTGTTAAGAAGCAAAGATATTCCTAGACAAGAGGAGCTGTGGCAAGCAGCTGCAGTGGGCTTCCTGCTTTCCCACCTTCCCACCTTCCCACCTCCCCTGTGCCTTTCCACCTCTTTGCCCCCAAGATTATTTCCTTGCATCATGCTGAGGTTTTATCCCCCTGTGAGGCCCTTGCTGTCCCTGGGAAGAAGCTCCTACTAGTAAAAGATGTACAGGTTGTAGGTACTGAGCTAACAGCCAGTATGCAGCAATGAGCAATAGAAAAGCAGCCTCAGGGTGATGCGCACAGCTTTGGGCACCTTTTCGGACCCCTGCAAGCAGACACATCCAAAGGGGCTCCCTGACCTGTGCCTGAGTTACAGATTTTATTTTCCTTCTTCTACAAAACCCAAATCTGTCAAAAATCAAATGGAGTTTTGGAAGCCCTCAAGCTGTCTGCACAGTCGGCTTTGGAGGAGCGAGTAGTTCATTGCAAGATATGCAGGAGGTGATTCCTTCTGCCCTGCCCACTCCAGATCAAGGGGTTCAACAGCCACACATTGGGGATGGCAGAAGGTGGGCCTCCCAAAACTCATTTTCTTGGGAAAAACACTAATACCTTTTCTTTGCTAACACTCCCAAAGTTCTTCCCACAGGTGTAACAGGACAATTCACATCTAACAGGGCTTTGAGGGCACTAACTGGCCCTAATAGCCCCGACCAGCCTCACCTGGAGGCTCCAACCCACATCCATGGGTCCTGGAGCATATTTAAGCCCTTCCTGGGGGCTTTCACTCCTTGCCTGAGATTTGGGGTAGGGGTGTTGCTCTCTA